TGTATCATTATACAGGAATGCTATTTTCCTACAATGCCCCATGTCTTACATGACTATAGGGTGCTACAAAACTTTATAAGGACGAATACGTTTTCTTCCCTAATCTGAATATATTTGTCACAAAAAGGAATGCATTTTTCTGAAATGGCTTGAAGATTTTAATTTTTAAACAATCCCTAAAAGGTTACGTAATTAACCTGATAATAAATTCTGCAACGTCATTAATCATAATTGTTTGTATTTCATGCATATGAATAAATTTCAGATGCTTTTCTCTTAAGAATGCATGTCAACATGCGTGACCTATGAAATTCGCAACATATGATTAAAACAATAAGTGTCAAAGAGTTTCTTAAATGATGACACACCTTCATTTGTTTTGCAATTAAGAGATAAAAGCATAAACAAACCCCATTGGTTGCTTTTGCTTGATTCAAAGGCTAAAATTGTTACCTAAATAAAAAGACCTTAAAACCAGTTTTTTTTGGTCAAACGATTATTTTATAGATATTGATTAGTTATTAATTCTAATTTTAAATGCAGAATTTTTTATTTGTCACTAGTTTGAAGTGCTTAAGGTTTGACAAAATTTGCAGCTAAGGCCGACCACGAGCCCGGCATTATTTTGATCTCTACTGTATTCCAAAAAAATACATTTTCAAGAAATTTGAAATAGCCATTAGACCAACTGTTTCTTTCCTGTGCTACTTTCGAATACTGCTTATGCACATTAATGAAATAATGTGCATAAACATATGCATTCTTACAATCGATCGGGGGAAATAAAGCCATGCTTCATCAAAGCATAATTCCATTTTTTATATTTACATAGGCATTTCTAAACGGGTACCTCAAAATATTAAAACACACAAAATAATGACTGGTTCTCTCACACGATGGAATTTCCGCATTTATATATAAAATATTAATTTATCTAAAGATGTATATATGAGAAACAACCATGCGGCATATAATGGGGATACTTATTTACATAAATGTGGTGAACCGAAACAGATGATAGAATATATACAACTGAACATTTCATTAATTTTAAAAAAATGTTACCAAAGACTAATATTTTTGTCATTTTATAAATGAAGATGATTAGCTCAGTCTAAATATCTCAGGAAAACCCACTTAGGTTCGTGAAAAATGATAACGATTACTAGGTTAAACGTCTGAAAATAACTGGTATCATTTTTGGTATGATCAGTTGACAGATAGGTGTGCCAGATAGCTAATATTTACCAAAAATCTCCACAAAGAGATATACACAATAGAAAATGTCTTTTACAATAAACCAGTTTTAAATGTGGTTTTAGACTCCAGATCCATATCACGCTTTGTACATAATAAGACGAATAATCGTAATTTTGTACTTATTTTAGTGGAATGTTATTCATTTAGCGTCAATTACAAAGATTTATTGATTGTTTTCTCTTTATTCTATATCACTGATTTCTTTTAATTACGTTTCCTTTTAATTACGTGTCTTAGCTGCTCGGTATATGTTCGTATATTTGTTTCTGACTCATTCAATCTATGGGGAAAAATTAATAAAAGCTGTTAACACTGTGTTTCTTTACATCATATACATGTATATATTTTTCAAATTCGGTTCTCCATCATCTTCTTTACTAAAGATCCGAATCTCAACGGCTGTCTTGGCCATCGCAGAATTTCCTTACCAACAAGCAACACATTCAGGTTTTATGTGCTCATAGCACGAAGAGGACTAAGTAAGTAAGTAAGCAACACAGATTACTGAACTGAGATTTTAAAAAAAATCGATTGAAATGGCAAGGGACTACTTGTAAAATTTCATTTTTCAAAAATAAATATGTAATATAGAAAGTTTTGTTACCGGGGGTATATATAGAGACATTTTTGGGTGTGTTATCTTTAATTTCACCAGCTCAGTCTTTATCCCAAATAATGCTTTTGTGTCCTTTTATATATTTCTGGAAAGTATAACGAGTTGACCCAATTAATATTAATCTGAGTTTTCTGATAGTATAATGAGGTATATCCATGTATATAGCTGGAGAAAATTACTGTAAACAATTATGTTAATAAATGATCTTCTTCATCTTTGTTTCTTTCCATGTTGATGAATCAGTCACGAAGGCTATGTAAATATAGCACTTACCAAGTACTAGACTTCGTAAGATTAACATTCTTTCGTGAAAAAATTAATATAAATAATAGTTACCCGGGTAAGTCAATTTTCAATCTGCTGCTGTGGAGAAGTTAAAAGAAAAATAGCTAATACAGTCATGCTAGTTGCTGAATGACAGCTGTTGCTTTCAGATTGTTGCTTCTGGTCATTTCTACATGTAATCCAACATATTCACAGTTCCCTTTCTAAGAAGGAAATTATTCAAAATCGTATGTCTGTTTTAAATATTTTTAATATTCCCAACAACCAAATTGAATTTGAATTACCATATCCATACTGGATTCCTAAACTTCACAAAATCTTAAATGTTCTACCAAGTCTCTTTCTTTAATATTAACAGCAGTGAGAAACTTCAGTAATGTGGATACTTAAAAACTCCAAAGAACTTGTAGAAAATTTGAAATCACAAAATCTTACCAAAATCAATAGCATTCAAACGTATGACTTTTCAACACTTTAAACAACCGTTTCTCACAATTAATTAAATACCAGACTTTTGACATCATAGACAACTACTTCTTCAATGAAAATGGAACTCGTAAATTAGCATTCCTTGTCATTGGTCATCTGTATACGTATTTTGTTAAAGAAGACATTTCGAACTTATACACAAGTACTCCAAGGTTGATATTAAAAAGATGCTTGGATTTCTTAGTGACAATATCTATGTAGTTTTAGGAAACCATGTAATCCAACAATTAGTTGTGACAATAGTTACTTCTATCATTCATAGTCGACTCAATATATCCCAGTGAGCTTGAAATGAAAAATACCACAGAATCTGACACATCTGTTTCAAATTTGGATATTTTACTAGAAAAAGATGGTAATGGTTACAAACAACTTGATGAAACAAGGATATCAACAGTCTCGTTTGAAGTCATCATTTACCAAATTTTATGGTAGATACAATGACCTTGTCAGCAAATACAACCTATCACCTAGTCAAATGCTGACTGAAAGTTGTCATACTAATTGTTAAGCCATTATTTACACACTACGGATTTTCCATTTTCCCCCGATCATGACAAAGAGCACACGGCGGGTGTGACCGGTCGGCAGGGGATGCTCATTCCTCCATGGCAGTTAAGGTCAGACGACACGTTCCTCAAAAATATGTTTTGTATTTCTTGGTATTATATAAAAATTATGCATAATTGTCATTCTCTTGTGATTTCTACATTGTCTTCAATATGTTTTTAAATATGAGTACACTAAAAATTGTGATATAGGCCATTCAGAAGATTACCCATAAGGGATATATAAGAAATATCACCCTGTGGTATCTTGTCCAAATGCCTGGTAAGGTACCCTAATTTTTTGTGAGGAAACTTGTTTAAGTACCTAGACTTCAAAGACAAATTCTTGGGAAAAATTATATATTTTTGAGGAACGTGTCGTCTGACCTTAATCCGATCTCTGATGTTTTAGAGGCCCGTGTTTGCTCTGCTCACGAACTGTACTGTTTAAATGGATTTTGAGCTTGAATACTGTTTGTTATCTCCATATTTCGTTGGAATTCCCATGGGTACAAATTATGCCTCTTTATTAGCAGACCTGTGTTTGTATCAATAATTTATTTACATCTCTTGCTATGGCATTCAATTTGATATTTTGATATCGACGACGTTTAAACAACATTCATTATCAATCCTACTTCGATATATATTTGGATGTTTTACTAGAGAAAGACATTTATGTCAAACGAGAACTAAACTTTATGATAAACCCCTTATTCATGTAGCAATGTACATGTACTTTCATCAACTGCATATGGAGTTTGTCTCCGAGTTAAATAATAAGCAAGAATGTTTTCTACGTATAAAAAAATTTCTAAGTTGGCTATTGACAAATACGTTTATCATACAATATCAACAATTTCTTTTAAAGTCAACCTTTTGCAAATTTTGTGGGCGATATAATTACCTTGTTCGCAAATACAATATGTCATTGGGTCGAATGTTGACTGAAGTCTTTTATACGAATTGTTGTATCACTGTTTTTATACTGACTTGTCTAATGATTTTTCCGTTTACCTGATCAGGACAAGAAGCACATGGAGGTGTGACCGGTCGACAGAGGATGCTAACTCCTTCGTGGCACCTGATTCGACTTCTGCTTATAATTTGTATTGTTTCATTGGACTTTTGAGAATGGTTGACTGTTCGTTTTCTTTAAATTTCATTCCTTTTAATTGTCTAGTTCATTTTTTAAGATATAGTATTAAATGTTTTTAAAGTATGTCTATTGAATAAAACTCTTTCTTTTCAAAATAATGTACATGTACCGTGACCACACTCCGGAATTCTATTGCCAATCAGAAATACGTTAAAAGTTGTCATATTCAAAAATGCAAACCATCATAAATCTAAATCCACTATTCCAGTCAAGTCACTTACTGTTTAGCAAATGGTATGCCTTATTTTACATCTGACAAAATCATAGAAGACATGCACTACAAGCCCTGAGAATAAGATTACATTTAGTTGCTAAATGATAATTTTCCCCCTATCCTTAAATATAATTCAGGATTGCTTTGCATAATCTTAACTTTATATTTGGTGCCATCAATTACTAGTTGTCAATAAGAACAAGAATTCGCTTGCTCTCTAATCACGAAATTTTAACGAAATTATAATATACAACGCATTAATTGTCGGTTTGTTTCTCACCATCGACTTTTTGCGTTCATTCAAGTATGAAATTTTATGCTATATTTTAATTAGAAGTATAAATTGACGATGCAGGTAAAGGGTTTTGGACAAGAACGCGTGACACGGGGACAATAATTTGACGCAACATCTACACTTGTCTCCGTTTTTCTGGAATAATCACCCCAACTTATTTTGCGAACTAGAAATCTCCACTGGTAATTTTTTTTCGACCAGTTTATAAAACAGTAAGATATAAGAACATGTGCAAGTCGTTTTGAGATATGTGTGTCCTACCAAGAGTCGAAATACAAGCCTTTCAAAGACAGTCATAAACTTAGGAACTTAGAAGTACTGTGAATTTATTGCATTGAAGAAATTTTATAATTGGATATACAGAAAATGGCTTTCAATAAAGGAAACTATGTCTTCTTTTTGGTTGTGATGCTAATTTCATTTTCGAAAGGTGAGTGATTTTCCGATATTTTTATGAAATTAAAAATTGTTGTTGTTTGAACAAAAAATATTGCAACAATTGAAAATATCATCGTCTTATCAAACTCAAGCAAGGAAACAAAAACACTTAATTTTTTTCCTAACATATTTTATTCAATAAGAAATTCAAATATTCGACGCTTCTGAAAAATAAATGTATAATGAAAGTTTCCGATTAAATTTCTTCAAAATCCCAATTGCAGAACAAACAAAAATATTACCCTGCTCATACAAAACCTTCAAAAGTATGATAAGAATTTTAATCCCATGGACGATGCAAAAAGATAAATCAGTATACTTTTTAAATATACAATTTAATTTTTTTTTGTATACACCAATGTTCCATGACATTGTAATTAAAAATAAATAATGTTGCTTTTAGAAAAGTGTTTGACAGATGTTAAGTTACATTCCCTTCCAACCACCCAAATCACGGCTTTAATATGTCAAAATTCCACTACACTTCATTTTTGTAATGGACGTTTGAAAAATATATTAATATATAAAGAAGAAATATGACAAAGTGACAAAGAACCATTAGTGGCAAAAATATTTGTATATCTGTTCTGATCTGTACAAATTTAGTCTGATATGAAAAACACCTAAACTGAGTCATAGTGTTTAATAATTTGGTAAACTAAGGTCACTGTTGAAGCTTCAAAATATCTTTACCTCCTAATAATTTATAAAAAAAAAAAGGTTAGTGGTAAACCTATTGAATTAATAAGAAAACAGAGCTAGGAGGCAGAATTGTGTTCTGTTCTACAGGTAAATGTCGCTATTTTTTAAGTGCTGAATCCGATAAAGATAAAAAAGAAAACTGATTAGGAAAGTGATAGAATAGAAAAAATATTGGATATGTGTGTGTCATCAAATTATGTCAATTTGTAGATAAATGGAATCACGATCTGCATTTAAGTTAATAAAACTGGTTGATGTTTGATTGATTGTACTCTTGTTTCTTTTGAATAAACCATTATGAGGTCTAATTAAAATGAATAGATTTGACAGAAAGCCCCAACTAGATAAAAAAAAAAAGGTTTTTCGTTATATGTATATTTTTTAGTCCTACAAATATTTTTATGCACGTGTCATGTAATTAATCTAAATAAAAAAAACGTTAAAATGTTTTAATATAATAATTAAGCCGTTTCCCCACATATTTAAGTAGATTTAGATAGAAAAATATCATCATGGTATTTTTTCAAATAAATGAATATCACTTGTTTTTATTCGTGTTTGTCGCGAAATAATGACGACATATAAAATACCGTTTTCCAGCCCATAATTAGGAGTTTATTTGACATTGCAGGACAGGACCAAGTAACGGACAACAGTCTGATTCCTAATATGCCATCATTTCCAGGCGATCCACCGCCGGCGGGGGGTAAGTGGAACTCAGCGTCGTTCATTATTTTTTTTTTTGGCACTGTAACATCGTCACAAGAAATTGATTTTTGCCATAAGAAAGCACGTACGCTATCAGAAAAATGCAAAAATGAAGTATCTATGGTAAATGATAATACATTTCTTAAAGGAATATGAAATCAAATATGTTTGTTTATTGGTATTCATTCTCACGATGTTAGAAGTGCCTTGATATATTATGTAATGGAGACAGTAACCTATGACTTAGAGTTAAAACCAAATTTTCCTTTACAGATCCTTTTGACGTACCTTTGGTTGCCACAAACACTAATGAACAAGTTTCACTGGGTGCTTTGGGAGATACGCCAACCATCGACTCAGTTGCTGATCCAGTTTCTCAACCGATAGCTTCAGATGTTCCTGATGTTGTAACCAATGAACCGATAACCATGACGGAGAATGTTGAGACGTTAACAGATCTTCCTCCTGTTGATAGGGGCACGAGGTTGAACCCTAGAACAGGTGAAATCGTAACCGACCCCCCGGATGTTACTGACACTAATTTAATATCTGGACCGGACGTCATATCTGTAGGAGATGGCAGCATTCCTAGCAACCTTGCTGTAGACCCAACTGTTCCTGTTACAACAGTGGATTCTAATTTTGACCTTAACGGCACGTTTGATGGAAGAAACGATATGCTTTTACTCACTGGTACAAAACCAACAAACGATACATTGATCGTTGGTTCTGAAATACCTCCATCTGTAGAAAATATTGGTAATATCTCTCTTGCAGAGATAGCAACAGGTCTCTCTACACAAGTTCCTGATGTAACAGACACTGTATCTGATGTAATAGACACTGAAACTGAACTCAAAACCTCAGTGGGAGGTGAAGTGACTCAAAATGCTATCGGTTTAGACAACATGAATACAATTGACAGCATTAGTACAAACATTAATGTTCAAAATCCAGAAATAAGCATCAGTACTACCATGGGCGATCAAACTTCTGTTGATCAAGGGATACCCTCCGATTTATTAAACACACCAAATGTAACCGATTTTCCAAATTTACCTGAAGCCACTGACAGAATTGTCGAAACTCCGTTGATAGCAACTAGTACCGAGACCTCAAAAAGCACGGTGGACTTGAGGTCTGAATACGAACGGATAACAGAGGAATACGAATCTTTTCTAGAAGAAAATCCAAACACAACTTTCCCCGCCCCTTCAGCCCCACCTCCCCGAAAAGAATTCCCTTCGGCCCTTCCCCCAATAGAGAACACACCTGTTATTCCCCCAGCACCTATCCCTCCTGTCCCTTCTTCTAGTCAAGACCTACAACCCATAGTTACTCAAGAAATGGTTTCCACAGTCCCATCTGCTATTGAAGACACACGATTTGTAGTTCCTAGAGAACCCGTCCCTCCAGCCCTACCTCCCAGAGAAGATTCTCTTCCAGGACAGACCCCTCCATCCGAAATTGAGACATCATTTACAACACAACCCATCGTACTTACAACAAGACCGACGACTAGTGGCATGGAAATATCAGTTCAACCTGATATTTCTGTAGCAGGAACAGATACTTTGACAGAGGCACGATCTATCCAAGTTTCTTCCACCATGTCTCCTGAAGCATCCACACGAAGGGCATTAATCACTCGCAATAGGATGAGAGGGATTCCCGATTTACCAATTCCTCCTCCCCCTCCATCAGACGTTTTTAAAACAGACTTTGGTGAAAATATAAACCAAAAATCTAAGAGTTTCAAATACGAACCAGTCATTCCAGAAAGAGATGTCACAGGAAGAAGCGACGTAATAGGTATACAAACTATTTCTGACAGAAATACTCCTAAAAACAACGCATATCCCTTTGTAATTGACCAACAAAGAAATCGCCCAAGAGAAACTGGCACAAGACAAAGAGATCGTGGCATGTCACTCATTCAATATCAATTTAATAATAGAAATACACAAAGAGCTGGTAGGCGATCTGGAGAACGAGACAATAGAACTGGAAACAGAGCAACAAATCAACGTCAAAATCAAAATTCATACAGCCTGCAGGCTCTCTTTGACAAGGATAAGAAATTTATTGCAAGATTTGACCAGCCAGGTATGCCATTTTATCAGGGAACTTCCGGAAGACAACCCGACAACGCATTCTTTTATTCTCAACCAAGCAATTCAAAACCATTTTACGAAGTTCAGGATTCTGCAAATACCAGAGTATTTTCAGACTCTAAGGACACGATGCCGCCGATTGTTGTAAGAGAATATGACCCTAGGTCCAGTCGTCAAAAAACGGAAACAAGAATACAGAGCACTTCTAGACCTGTCGCTGCACGCTTTAATCCCAGAAATGTTCGAGATCCGCAGGCTTCCAGAACTAATGCACCATCTTTTAAAAACCGAAGGGACAATAGTTATGAAATGTGGTATCAAATAATGGGAGATGAATGGGAAAAAAATCCAAATAGATATAGACAACCCGAGGTAAATTCATCTCCTAATCGAAGAGACATGGGAGGAAGAGTTCTGAATACCTTTTGGTCTGGTTCAAGTTTCGATGGCAGGAGTGGAAGAATGCGAACGGAAAACAATAAAAGAATTTCCAGCATAAACAAACCTTCCAGAAAAGAAGGAGGAAATCCTACAGCAGGATCACAAATATCAAATCGGAGAGATAATTCTCTCCCCTTTGACCCCCAGATTCAAAGATCTCGATCGAGTAACAGCATGTCTACAAAACAGTCACAAAGACCAAATCAAAAAGCTAATTCTTTTGTTTTTGAACCACAGCTTCAAAGATTCCAGTCTTCTGGCCCTCATAGGATGAAAATTAAAGAATATACAATAACTAGGGATCCTAACATTGTAAGTACTACGGAGGCGCGATTAAATCTTCGTGTTCCAACACTATCAAGGCCACTTGAACCAGAAGAAAGGTCAAATTCATTATTTTCCCAAAACAATCCCCCACCGATAAATATTGGTAATGATATTTCTGAATTAGAGTTCCAAACTTTTATAACAACTACTGAAAGACCAACAACACTACCACAACCTTCAGTTGTTTCTGGTTTTAGAAACCGACAACGCTCAGTAGCAACTACAGGGACCAGAAACAAGAATCTAAGCAGAAACAGGGCGTCTAATGACAATCTTCTACCACCACCACCAATAATTTCAAGACAAAGAAAGTTTAATCCGCCTATAGAAAGTGTTTCTCCTATGAACCCCCTTGACAACCAAGTGAATGAATTTAGGACGGCAACCATAGTCCCATCGATACAAAGTGAAAGAGATATCCCTCTTGTTAAGTCAATACCGAATGCTGTACCATACGTACCAGAAATGCAAACACAGAGAAAAAGAGACAGAAGACTCTCTGCTTTACCACGACCTCCAGCAATAGTTGTCGGTTCTTCTTCGGGAGGAGATTTGACTGGAGCGGGCAACGACCAAAATCCACCGTCCATTCGAAACGCACAACCATTGCAGCAATCTACACCCTATAGCTTTACACAAGTACCAGAACTGACACCTGTGCCTCCTTTGTTTTCTGTCAACAGGACATTAGTCATGAAGCTCCAGAATGATTCGGTTACTAAGGAAGAACTTCATCCAAGTAAGTACCTTAATTTGTTTTAAAGAAGTCAAAACTTAACAAATTATTTTTGACAAATCTAAATTTATTTTAAAATCCAAACATTTATTTTGATATATAGAATAAAATACGGAGATATCAAACAGTATTCAAGCTCATAAGTTTATTCAAGCAACGCAAATCAGGAGCAGAGCAAACGCGGACCTCTAAAACAGCAGAATAAAAAACCACACTGCTGACTATTCGTAACTAATCAATACAGTGCACAAAATTTGCTTTTTTGACTAAGTTATCATTCATTCACATACATTGCTTAATGTATCTTTTTTGTTCTTTTCTCCCAATAGGTGTTTGCCATCAATGCCACTATGTCAGTGACGTATGTTATTTGAGTGAAGCTGGAATTTGTAACAGATTTGTCGAATGTCACAAAAATGGTGATCAAGTGAGAGCGTTTGAAAAAGAATGTGCGATTGGAAACTTCTGGAACCCAGAAACACTTGCCTGTCAGAAATCCCTTTATGTCAATTGTCCTTCTGGTAAGCAGGAACAATTTTAAATAATGTTTGAATGAATATACATGTATACATATTTTAAAATTTTATTAAAAATACACGTTTACAATTTTTTAAACTATAAATTTACTGAAAAAAATGCATTAATGGATTTTCTTTTCTCCTGGTTAGACCCCTGCAAGAATCCAGCCGTGAAGACTCATCCATTCTTGGGACGATGTCGATATTTTTGGAAATGTAATCGGGGGATGTCAGAGTTTGAGTTATGTAGTCCAAATTATAGATATGATGGGGTAACAGAAACCTGTGTTCCAGACTTAACTTGCAAAGATAATGACCTACCCAATGAATTAGCTCCACAACAAGAGAAGAAACCAGAGAGTAAGCCATCTTAGCCTTCTAACTTCTTGTTTAAAAAAAAAATCCGGATTTAATTCACTCTTTTAATTCAATTTTGTATGAAGAGTTATCATATCAAACCTAATTTGGCGTAGAATAACATTTACAAGCTGAAAAATTTTACATTGAATTTCAATAATAATAAATTAATTAACTGATTGTCTAAGCATTTGATTTCCATCGTTTTTTACAGAGTGCATTTGGACAGCTGTAGATGGTACTTTAACCTCATTTACCGACGGATTTAGACAACAAAAATGTGCGCCTGGAACTCGCTTTGATGAAGTTCAATGCACTTGTGTTATCAGCAACCTGAAACCGGAAGGAGAAGGTTGGTCTATCAACTAAGTTTCTTTATAGCAATATGAATATTTAACATTGCCCTGGTACATTTTAAAACCCTTAACTAATATACATGTCTTCTCGTACAGTGTGTAATCCTGATACGTTGATTGACTTTGAGGGAGGTGAACCAGCAGCATTTACCGACAAGTCCGGTCATATGAATGGAATCGGCAAGAATGGTGTTATTTTAAAAGATGGCACTGGTTTCTTCTTTGGACGAGGAAAACTGTCTTTTTGGCGTTATGCAAATGTGGAACTCGGACCCTTACTTGCTATTCAAATTCGCTTTTTCCCTTATGGACACGCTAAAAATCCTATGGGACTTGTATCCAACTGTAATGGTTCTCCAATAGGATCTACTGTTGATATTCGGCTCGATACAAGAACACAGAAAGCGGCCTTTAAATTAAGTACCAACCAACAACTAAATAACGTCATCACTCTGCCTTATGAGGTAAGTTTATGTGCATATTGTGTAACCTTTTTTGTGTTTAACTTTTACATTCAACTTCCTGCTTCCTGTCTCCATTTATCGAAGTCTTACTGAACTCGATACTTTCATAATAATATTTATTTTCAGCCTTTTAAATGGAATACAGCTACTTATGTCTATGCAGGAGACACTTTTACTGCTAGCATTAATGATAAAAAAGAGACCATACCAGTAGAAGGTAACCATTATATATATGATAACTAATTTTATACATCGTCAATGAAAGTGTTTAAGGTTAAGAAAATTCTAAAGAAAAAAAAATATTTGATTTCAATGGGACTAATTTTCCATTGCTATTGTTGTAGGTTCGATTCCTAATAGACATCCCGCTATTCAAGTTGGAGGTTGTAATAGAGAGGATGGATTCAGGGGTTATGCTGATGATGTAAGTGACAATACACATAAGTCCAACCTGACTTTTACTAAAATATGTATCTTGATGTTTTTAAATCGTACTTATGAAAGTGTATTTTTATTACCTTAATTTTTTTTTTAGATCAAAATTTACAATGGATGTATCCCAGAAGAATTTGAGTACATAATCTTCACATGATGACCAGTGGTACCTCCAATAAGAAATCCATCTAGCAGTCGGTAAATCCCTATATACAAGACATTAAACTTTGGTACCTTCATATCCATATACAGCAATGAACATCGTGACAATTTAACACATTCCCTCGTGTTATGACTTGTCATATCTGACGGCGGTGAATATTTATGGCACTGGGAATTAACCGAAGATTTTGAGACACGCCTAAGGAAGATCTTCTGAATATAAATGAGACCAATTGAGAAACTCACAGAAAAGTGAATACGTGGTAAGGCGTAATGTGGAACGGACTTGGTGCAGCGGCGCACTGAAATGACACTAGTGTACATTGGTTATGTTGTGTCAAGACCTGTAAAACACATAGCATATCTCATGTTATTATTCATAATTTATTGTCCATAATTTTTGAAATATTCCAATTATACGAAAACCTCATGAATGTTTTATAGTGTTATTTTTGTCACAATTTTATTTGTAGTAGTAACTGTGTCAAACACATGGTTTCCTTGAATTCTCATCCGTTGATATGTTACATGACATCTACAAAAATGTAATGTTTTATTTATAACTTATTTATTAATTATATATCTTAGTTCTATGACAGCCTTATATATATGTACATACCATGTATGAGTGACGGAGTTAATTTCAAATTGATGGTGGCTGTAATTGATATCTCTGTGTTCGATTTCCTTAGAAAACATGTATATTTTGTTTGTTATATATTCTTTTATTTTTGGAAATGAAAGATGACATCTATGTTTAATGCAAAAAATAAACTTAATGAAATGTAGATAATCAAAGAAAATATACAAGCAGGATTTATTTTTATTAATAAGCGGTAGTTGAGAACAGTTCTATTGAAAATAGGAAGAAAAGCTCTCCCTCTCAATAATAACCATAACATTTAAAATGATAAAACAAGTTGGATTCAACAACAGAAGATAAATATACTGTGTAAACAAAGCAGATATATATATATATATATATATATATATATATATATATATATATATATATATATATATATATATATATATACTAAATTGAATCTATTGTAGGAACATTTTCTTCTGTTTTTTAAAATAATTGGTTTAATTTTACTTGCCATTTTGTTTTGATGGTTTAATGATAAAACATTAACATATGGGACTAAAAAATCGAAATAAAATTAAAGTATAAAAAATCCAAGTAAATCACATGAAATTCTAATATATTCCAGAAGGAAACCTAACTTCTGATATGCACATGTTATCACAAATAATGCAAAAATAAACAATTTACTCAATTTCCTTAGCTTTTTTGGAATTTCATTTATGTCGTTCTTATAAATGAAATACATACAAGAATATAGATGCACCGTATCTGTCGAATAACGAAAAAGTTGTTAAATATCAAATAAAAAACTTCAAATTAGACCAATTTAATCGGTATTCGTTAAGATTTCAAGATATTTCAAGTTTATAAAAAATAAAGTGTTTATAAACAAAGTGCATGGAGCTCATTCAGATCTTGTGTATATCAGATTAATTAATTCGTAGCAATCTTTGTGATGTCGGTCAATTATACAAATAAATGATTATCATAACTAAACACAAGCCAAAAAAGAAAAAAAAAAAGAAAAAAAAAAGATAAAAAAAGAAAAAAAACAAAATAATAATAATAATAATAGGCTCTCAAATACAGACGAAAAATTAAAACAAATAACTTCAAACCTTGTATTGTAATTTTGAAACATTCTACATAAATCAAATACTTAGCATGAGAGAGTGTTAAAGTCTGGATTTTTTTTTGGTATGCTCTTTTGTTAATTGTTCTGGGATGGAATCATTATTTTGAATATCGTTTGCATTTTAAAACTACATAATTGGAATTTTCATTACCTTAAAAAAATCATGGGAATAATATTGCCCCAGAGGAATATAACGGATAAAATATATATATCAAAATTAAAAAAAATTGTACTAGCAATTATGCAAAGCCGAAGGTGTCATTTGAAACTGAGACGTTAAGGTAATAGTTGGTACATTTTTACCTATATTAAATAACAAAAAGTCGTGTACATATTAAATACATTAAACTTATTCTTTTGATAAATACAACGACACGGCATTAAATCTTTAAAGGTACGAGGATGCCGATGACAGATTATATTCATTTGTTCTCCTCTTTTTTATATTGCTCACATTCTACAAAACGTAAATATATGTATATTACCCAGAAGTCCGTGTTTTTTTTTTGTTCTCAGTGCCCTTAGTCATACTGCCTCAATAAAACACACCGGGCACTCTGATTAAGGTCCCATCCTTTTAATTCTTGATATGCCGTAATCATATTTCATAAACGTGTAAGGAAGTAGAAAATAAGTATCAAAGACGACCTTCAAAACAGTTTGTTTTGTATAATACATCCATCTTATCAAAGAATTTAAGATATATATCTTTTTAACATAACTTTATAACTATATTGCAAACACTTAAATTATGTATCCTGCAAAATATCAATGTTAGAAGATTATGAGAGAATCTTTTTTGGACAAAAACATTTTATAGACTCGTTATATAATATTTTGATTGGTAAACTCATCAATTTTTGTCAAATATTTTGATGAATAATTCTGACAATGAATATAAATTCTACAATACATCATTCTTGGCATAATTTCTTGAAAGGTTTTCATACAATTATAAGTGACTAGAAATATAAAAATGAAAAGACGCGTTTTACTTTGGAAGCAACAAAGAAACAAAACAAGTTGAAAGCATCGTCAATCACTCAATTAACTTACGTAATAGAGCTACACTGCCATTACAAAACATGTCCATGTTTGTTTTTCCATTCTGATTTTTTACGTAATAAATATTCAGAATATTGGCGAGTTCCGATCCTTTGAGTAAGATTCTTATAGAGTTTGACGTGTGGGAGGTTCTTGTAATAGCTCCAATTCATATCCCCGGTGTTTGGATGATAAGTCCTTTGTCTGATTATTTCTTCTAAGCAGTCTACAGAAGTAGTGTCCACGCGAATATCAAACTTGTTAGCGATGACCTGTGGCTGCCGGAGAAGCCATGGTAGATCTGAGGGACCATAAACACATACTGACCTCACCCACTGGCCACCACAGTCCGCACGCCTCATCTGCCACTTTATAGCACGTGACAAAAATGTATTGCTTTCTTCTGATGTCATGATGTCGTACCCACCAGGAGCCCATGGTAGACTATTTAATGTTGCAAATAATGTTTCTTCGGGTGAATATGTGTATGATAACCATTCAATAAACTCCTCGGATATATCGTCAAATAAAACGAAGTTCACAAATGCGTATGTCAACATAGCGTATGCACTACCTTTCCTGATTTTTATAGGGTAGCGGAAAGATGGATGAGTGGTATTCGATTGTATCATTTTATTTCGAACTTTTACATATTTATACTTGTATCTATATTGCAAACCAACAGGAAAATCGTAACTTTCAATATCATTTGCTCCATTTAACGTTTTTAATATCTGCACTATTTCTAAATTTGTTTTTAAAGGGAACTCCTGTCCAGTAAGGTTGATATAATATTTCCATTTAACATTTGACTTCATCAGTACCCTCATGCACTCTAATTCAGCATGTACTAAATCAATGCTGGCGTATGTCACTCTTTGTCTGCCTTCCACGACGAACACATTTTGAAAACAGCGACCCAGTTGCTGCATTATATTAAAAAACTGTTTGATTGCCTTTCTGTCCACATAGATACAATACACATTATGCGATCTGTAAATGTTTCTCAGTAATTGCTCACCTTGGTCTGCGTTGGTGTGCATTTTTATGGTAAAGGCGAGCGGAAAATTAAGTTCCTCCTGTGACAAAGATTGCACGATGTATCCATGGAGATCTAAAAGAGCCGTGCAGTTCTTGACCAGATTGAGAATCATACAGGGTAGGACTGGGTCAGAAAACCTCGTTGTTTTGCTTAAAGTCACCGCATTCTCCTCTCCTCGAATCAAAGGTCCACAAGTAATATTTTTCCTTTTCAAATTTCGGCATTTTGACATGTCGTTATTAGAATAGCTTGAAAATCTATTTGGTGGTGGTCCATCGTCAATTAAGAAATTTTTTTCTTTAGTCTCCATTGGGAATGTTTTAAGTTTTTGGAATATTTTTTGGTATAAGTAAAATGTTAGAAAAAATGCAACTAACATACCAGACACAAAGTACCTCAACGAAAATGGATATCGTTCCATAATAGATGGACATCTGAAATAGATAAATATACATGCATACAACACCAAATAATACTGATCGAGGAAAAAGAAATATTTAAAAAATACATCTTCAAAAGACATTTTCAAAAATGAAAGATCGTCTGTATTTTTCTTATAAGTTTTTCCTACCTTTTACATCCTGTATCTAACTGCCTGTCGGGTTTGGCCTTGCCGTTGGAAATGGAGCATCACCAACAAGATACAATTAAGTATCCTTCTCTCCAACAGGCCCTCTGCCAATCTGTAGTAATGGGTCAACGAAACTCCCCCACATCGGAGGAGAGCACAGTATGTGCTGCACCGAACAGTTGTTCCCCGCACAAGACATAAGCAATATATTTTTATGAAAAAAATGTTTTAAAGTACATTTGTAAATGTCCTTATGGCTTCTGATGTAATATCACAAATATTGAGTGTATTTGAGTATGGCACTGTAGAATCTCCACAGGATTGACATTGCTCAATAACCTCGATTTTTATGGCGTACCAGTTAAATTCCTTCTGATATAGACAATCCAAATCTCAGAAGCAAGTGTTAAATAACGATGAAGCAATGTTATAGAGTACAACTCCTTATGTAATTCACTTTTTAGAAGTGTATTGAAACAAAATGCAACATTATAAAGCCTGTCAAAATTAAAAAAAAAAGTGGGGAACACCATTGTAGTTTATAAAAATATTAGTTTTAGGGGAACAAAGAACTTTTTTTTATTTATGAGTTGCAGATTACAATCTTACAAACCTCTGGTGCTTTACCTCTTACACATGAAAATCAAACGGAAGTAGAGACTCTGAAGTAGTTCTCACAAGTCTATGAAGTTAATCATAATTTCATGGAAAACTTGTCTTAATTTATGAAATAAAGACTTTGTATTTGGAAACATCTGTTTTGATGTACAAACATCACTTAACCCTTTTTGTTGGGAGAGCTTCAATGATGTAGCAAAGCACGTGTTAGTTAATAGAGAATTTTGAAATTGTCTAGTAATGACAACTCTAGAAATGAAGTTCAATGAATACACATTTTCATTAGTTTTACAATTTAAAGAAAATTAATGGGTTTTTTTTAAATAAGCTGATGACAATACCTGAACATTATATCAGATGTCTACTGATGAAAAATTATGCAATAATGAATGAATAACAGTGACTGTGTGATTTGAAATTTGGTCGCGAAGTTAACCATGACAGGGATGTCCAAAGGACCAATATCAAAAATATCCATTCTGCAAAAACAATTCTTGGTGCATGATGCATTACAAACGCAATGCGATATTTTGAGACATTTCTCTAAGCGTAAAGAGTTCAGCAGCTTGAACGTTAAATGAAAACTTGGAATACACTATTCAAGAGGGTCTTGGTATGTAATTAGAAAACCATTAGTCTCATGGAGTGATGGAAGGCAAAATAGCTCACAAAAATCTGAAAGCTGTTGTTATAATGTTCTTAATACATTTTCGTTCGTATGTCATTACTTTATTATTAATTGTTTTTATATTCGAGGTATATACTCACTTTAGACCACAAAAAAAGTTTAAAATAAACTCACAATTTATAATACAATGTACTAGTATTAACATTTCTAACTGTTACTCCTTTGAGGCAAAAACTCTGCTTTGTTAATTACGTAAATCATGATAATTAAACTTCCACAATTTCAATAGTTTAATATTCAATATTCAAGGATGACTCTCTTTGCATTACATGTATTTTGATTGTCTTTGCAATGAATTAGTATGAAAAATATTCCGTAACTCTAAAGTGAAATATGGAGATAATGAACAGTAATGAAGCTCAAAAGTCCATTAAAACAAACCAAATCGGGAGCAGAGTTAACACGGACCTCTAAAAAAATTAGAAGTGGGATCAGGTGCCATGGAGGAGTAAGCATCCCCTGCCGACCGGTCACACCCGCCGTGTGCTCCTTGTCATGAACGGGCAAACGGAAAAATTCTTAGACAATTCAATGTGTAAATTCTAGTCTAACAATAAGCATGAAAAAAGTCAGTCATCATTTGACTTAATGATAGATTGTGTTTGCTGACAAGGTCATGGTATCGACCATAGAAATTGCGAAATGATGACTTTAAACGAGACTGCTGATATTCTTGTTTCATCAGCTTGTTTGTCAATAGTTTGCCTCGTTTTAAAAATTGTTTGTAAGTAGAGCATGCTCTTGCATATCGAATCAACTGGGAGACATAAGTCCAATATGCAGGTGATAAGGGTATATTGCTACTTAAGTAAGGGAAGTTGACGATAGAAAAAGATGAAGTCATCACGTTCATATTAAAGTTTTGTGTTAGACTGTAGGTTAAATTCATCTACGTTACTTGTTATACATCACAAATTATTTATTTTCAGTATTGCATGCTTAAAAACAAGTATATTCTTTAATGATTCATCGTCAAAGTAACTTCCAGGAACTATACTAATGACTAAGGCATCATGCATCTTTTACAAACGGAATCCTTATACATGAACCACAAATCGTAAAAGGAACAGTATAACGCTAATTACATACATTTTTCACTTGGCACTACATGATCAACCCATAAGTATATATGTTTAAGTATTGAATGTACTAATGTGGTTTATAGAAAAAAGTATAACACTGACATAAAAAATACCTTTTGTTGAGCTTAACTAGAATTTTATATTATCATGTCTCCGATGTCCGATTCAAGGACAAAATTTAACATAATTTATTATATTAATTCTGATGTAGTTTGAATTGAATGAAAATAATAAAACAAGATGTTCATGGCTAAGATAAGAAATGACCTTTTGTTTGTGTTTATTAATGTCAACTTTACTTATCAAACTTAATCAATTATGATATTCAATAATTTTTTTCCTCTTTCCTTGGGTTTAGGGTTTATTATTTTAAACTATTTTTTTGTGTGTACTTTCTGTATGAAAAATGTATTTGAAGGCAATGCCAGTTTATTTGCATTTTAATTGAAAATGTATTGTTAAAACCGATTATTCTTATTTGATTTATTCTACAGTTTATATAACAAATGATTTGAACCCCTCCCAAAAATAATACATTGTTTGCACTACAAAGCTCATTTCTAAAATTTATTTAAGTTTTTTTTTTAGGATTTTGGTATTTGTTTTCTTTGTAAAATGGTAAAAAATGACTTTGTTTACATAGTGAATATTAGCTTCAAGCAGTCTCTATGCATGAATCACTTTAAAGTATTTTTTGGAACTGAAATATCATGTTGTGTGCATTGAGTGATTAGAAAGAAAATTACAACTTGAATTTCTGAGATAAACCCATGTGGTTAGTGATACAGAAAGCTTCTTAAAGCTACTTTAATATGATGTGGGATGAGGGGTATAAATCAAAATAAAAATTACAGTTTCTAATTAAATGAATGAATATTGCTCTACATCTAGCAACAAAAAAGCATTTCAATCAATCCCAAAATATACGCTTAAATCTGAATAATTATACACTGACATTGAGTCGAATCATAATTTTTTTAAATGTTTTATTTTGAACCTTTCGAAAAGAAGAAACTCAATGTAAAGGGTGATTGTACATCTTTCAAAAACATGTATATAATTCTTTTATTATATAAAGTAAGGGAAAGGTATAAAATTCGAATTTACAGTTAGCGAAAACTGAGCTCCATTCAACTTAAATATTTAGTCACACCTACACATAGTTTGTTTCCTAAAAATAAATCATTTATGAATTTAAATCGTATTTGTGGATTCTCAAAATCTCTAGAGAACTTAAAAATCTGAAACCACAACATCTTTTCTAAATCAAAACGTTTGAATTTTCATATCTTTAAGCAACCATTCCTATTTATTAATTAAAGGCCAGCATGAAATCATGGATAACGACTTCTTTAATAAAAAATGAAACTCGGAAAGAAGATGGGCGTGTTTGGCGTGTGATCTGCAGGAATAAGGCGTACGAAACATTTATAGTTTAAATGTCTACGATTTGGTCGGCTGACCACAGCTGGACATACTTTAAAAGTCACGCACATGGGAAAATGTTACATTTAGTTTGAAATACTTTGTCAAATATAATATATCAGTCCGCTTATCTTAATAATTACTACATGTAAAACTTAGTAACGCTTGACATAAATAATAAACACGTATGGGGTATAATTAAATGCAATTACAAGTACATGTAAATATTAAAGTATCAGTAGGTTGGAAGAATTGCTTTCGCTTTCGGTGCAACAGAACCAGAATTTATCTATTTGAAAATAAATCAGTACATAAAACTAAACTGACAAAAGAATTGATTGTTTGCACCAAAAAAAAAAGGAGTAATAATAACGCTCAATGCGAGGATCGAACCAAAAATATTTCATTTCATTGCACTGGACGGGTAACGCATACTACTGAGCTATCAACGCTACATACACTTCATGGTTTTTAAAGCGACAATGAAGCACCGCATTTACACATTGGAATTTTTTTGAAAAAAAGTTCATTTTTAATTGTCTCTGGGTCTTCTCTCCATTTCTTACAAATGTTTGTTTGTTTCTTTAAATTAAAATGCACACAAATAACGTTTCAAAATCATGGAGAGATGACCCAGAGATAGTAAATTTTTAGAAAAACGTGTTTAAAAATGTAACATTTTGTACCAAATGACTCGTCTAGCCAATTTTCAAGTTCTTTTTTAGCAAAACAAAAAACGATATCGGAAAAATATGTCCCTTTCCTATTTCACAGTAACCCGATTCATCAAAAGAATGCTAAAATTTTATGTGACAGATCAATGAAATTTTCACTTTTCAAGTGCGCCCAGATTCCTGCCGAATGCCAATCAAAAGCGCCCTCGTTCTTTCCATACCTTGTGATTAGTCATTTGCTAAATAACTTCTTTAAAAATCGTTCTTATTCTACTCAAATGCTGGAATTTCTATTTCAATTTATTTTCTGCTGAGGCTAAACATCCTATGGCAAATTACAATTTGTACAATTATATATACATAGGAAATGTATACATACATCTTTAAGTGATAAAAAGAAACCAAACTAAATAGTGTATGATAGAAATTATACAACAATATTAGTACCAATATTATTACAGTTATAGTTAATACAATATGCGTGTTAAGTATACATAGTAGACAGTTCTATTGTCGACAGTTTCTTATTTCATAGGCTTAATTTTAAGATATATTTTTTTAGATTATACAGTTCTTTGACATTATTAACACTGATGAGCTGTATGAATTTAAACCCAGGGGAGTTGCTCCAGTAATATTTCTTACTAAATTTCTGACGTCCTCATATGTAGGGCATATAAGTATGAAATGGTAAGGCCAGAGTTTTTTTATTTTCTGTTTAACGGGAATTTTTAAGAAAAAGTCGGGTCGAGGGGGCGAAATAAAATAAAAATAAAAAGTTCAAAATTTGTCGAGTCGAGACCATAAAAAAAATAAAACCCAAAATTGGTATGAATTTTTTTTTTTAATAAAATGTTGAAAAATGAAAGAAAACACCATAAAATTTTGTTCATCATTTATTTGCATTTCAAATATGGAAAAATAGATACAATGTACAACTAACTATATGCATGTGTCATCCAATTGTGGTTAATTACACTTCTAAATTCTAGTATGAAAGCAAAACAATAAAATCTCATAGTTTGAATTATTATACAGCAAAATAATATTGGATACACGGATAACAGAAAAATCCACACTGCTTAAAAATTTATAGATGTATTCTGGTGGTCATCTCCTACTGTATAAAATTTATAAAAGTAATGATAAGAAATGTTTTAAACTACATGTATTATGATTATGATTTAACAGAAGTCTTGAGAAAGAGATGGGGTTGATAGCTAACTTGACAATGTGTTCCTAGTATAGGGCTAACACATTCTTGAGGTTCAGAATGGAATTTGTCAGCAGAAATTATTTGATGAACAACAGCAAAGTCATCTTGGAAATCTTCTGAACTCTTCACAAATGGTTGGGTCTCCATCAAGAAATCAAACTGCACTAAATTTACATTGTTCCTTTAAGATACTTTATAAATAAAATCAAATACATGTAGTAAATCTTAGAAAGTAGAAGATAAAAAACAGTATTTACATGAGATTCTTTTCTTTTCTTTAAAATAAAGATACAGAACATTTTTTAAGAGAGTTTTTGATAATACAAATTTCTTTTATAATAAATATAATAATTTTGTTCTTTGTTCAATTTGCATTTAAAGTATTCAATTGGACAATTTGTCGACTTAATTCTTTCTATCTCTACCTTTCCACAGGATAATGTGTGCAACTCCAATTAGCTGTCACTTGTCAGTGTTATATTCTTTTCCAACTCTTGTAATTTTGTTGGAATCCTTGTCTCATTTAATTCAACCAAGCAGACATGGACTTGTATCTAAAATATTTTAATCTTCATTTTAAGTCCCTGATTTAGTTAAACACCATCCATCGTAAAATTATACTTTACCGCGAATTTTACCTCAATTTGTTATGTGATCAAATTAAATATACAATATAAACATCTTTACAAGAAGAAAGAAAACGTATCAAAAAATGTTAACCATCGAACAACTATAACAGAAAATTTATTAAGACATCTCAAAACTTACTTAACTTGGACATAAGTTCCACAGTTCAGTGTGCATCTGGTGTATTTAGGTTGTTGATGCCTTAACTCCGGTTTCAGGATCTTTTCTGTCTTAATCATCAATGGATTTAATATTACTATCCCGTCATTTTTATCTATAAATGTCTCGATATGACATTTTTGTTTGTTGATAGAACCCGCGAAATTGCGATAAACTAGTTTTTCAAACTGGTTACGATATCGTAATCAGCAAGACGCTCGTAATAGAGTTTGATTAACACAAGCTATGTCAAACGTTTACATGATTTATAAAAAATATGGTGTACAACAAACCCGATTTTATTTCAAACCATTAAAAAATGACACAGTCGGCAGGAATTTTAAAAATAAAAGTGAAGGCATCAACAACCTAAATACACCAGATGCACACTGAACTGTGGAACTTATGTCCAAGTTAAGTAAGTTTTGAGATGTCTTAATAAATTTTCTGTTATAGTTGTTCGATGGTTAACATTTTTTGATACGTTTTCTTTCTTCTTGTAAAGATGTTTATATTGTATATATAATTTGATCACATAACAAATTGAGGTAAAATTCGCGGTAAAGTATAATTTTACGATGGATGGTGTTTAACTAAATCAGGGACTTAAAATGAAGATTAAAATATTTTAGATACAAGTCCATGTCTGCTTGGTTGAATTAAATGAGACAAGGATTCCAACAAAATTACAAGAGTTGGAAAAGAATATAACACTGACAAGTGACAGCTAATTGGAGTTGCACACATTATCCTGTGGAAAGGTAGAGATAGAAAGAATTAAGTCGACAAATTGTCCAATTGAATACTTTAAATGCAAATTGAACAAAGAACAAAATTATTATATTTATTATAAAAGAAATTTGTATTATCAAAAACTCTCTTAAAAAATGTTCTGTATCTTTATTTTAAAGAAAAGAAAAGAATCTCATGTAAATACTGTTTTTTATCTTCTACTTTCTAAGATTTACTACATGTATTTGATTTTATTTATAAAGTATCTTAAAGGAACAATGTAAATTTAGTGCAGTTTGATTTCTTGATGGAGACCCAACCATTTGTGAAGAGTTCAGAAGATTTCCAAGATGACTTTGCTGTTGTTCATCAAATAATTTCTGCTGACAAATTCCATTCTGAACCTCAAGAATGTGTTAGCCCTATACTAGGAACACATTGTCAAGTTAGCTATCAACCCCATCTCTTTCTCAAGACTTCTGTTAAATCATAATCATAATACATGTAGTTTAAAACATTTCTTATCATTACTTTTATAAATTTTATACAGTAGGAGATGACCACCAGAATACATCTATAAATTTTTAAGCAGTGTGGATTTTTCTGTTATCCGTGTATCCAATATTATTTTGCTGTATAATAATTCAAACTATGAGATTTTATTGTTTTGCTTTCATACTAGAATTTAGAAGTGTAATTAACCACAATTGGATGACACATGCATATAGTTAGTTGTACATTGTATCTATTTTTCCATATTTGAAATGCAAATAAATGATGAACAAAATTTTATGGTGTTTTCTTTCATTTTTCAACATTTTATTAAAAAAAAAAATTCATACCAATTTTGGGTTTTATTTTTTTTATGGTCTCGACTCGACAAATTTTGAACTTTTTATTTTTATTTTATTTCGCCCCCTCGACCCGACTTTTTCTTAAAAATTCCCGTTAAACAGAAAATAAAAAAACTCTGGCCCAAAGGATCTACAGATAGGTATAAAGCAATTATACCTACATGTAGGTTTAATTCAATTGCATCTAGCAAGTATACCTGTCCTTAATTCTTGTATTTTATACCTATCTTCAATTCAGTTACACCTATCTTCAAATCAATTGTACCTTTCTCCAAATGAATTAAAGATATATATGATTGAGTAAAACATGGAGATAGATACAATTCATTTGAAGATATGTACAATTATTTGAAGATAGGTACAAATATTTGAATACATGTATATGTTAATTTACCGTTCCATAGTATATCTGATCTAAAATTAATTACTCTGTGTTGACGTTACAGGTAAATTGTACACAAAGCATATTAAGAAATACACATGTATACGAAATGAGATTTTTGTATTATTGTTTATATAAGTGTTCATCACCTACATTTTTAAAAACAGGGCATTATTATGGAGGCTTATATCATTTTTGTTTAGAATTTTTTATGCATTTTCTCTCCAAATAGTTCAGCTTATTCTGTTGCAAACTGCCTCCTTTTTCATCTCCCCTAAAAGATTCAAAATCTGAACCTGTTGAACAATTAATCATCTTTTGATGGGATGGTAAAATTTAAGATTTAGGACAATGACGTGAATAAGTTTGAGAGATTTTTATAGGTTCTTTAACAGAGATCATTTAACTGCTTGACAAGATAAGGCGTAGAACCTATAGTTTTGGATGTATCTAGTCTAATTATTTATAATTTTAATTTTGAAGATCTTATCTCACTGTAAAGAGCTTTTGGCATGTATACGAAAACATTACTACAACGGTATAAAAATGCGCCATACATAGTTTATTGGCAAATCAGACAAAAGACGTGGTTCTAAAATAAATATTTATTTGTACAAGTGTAAGAGATTGGTCATGATCTTGACGCAAGGTCTTTTTCCCCCAAGACTCAAGGTCATATATAATATCCAGGACTATAGCTGAGAAGAAAGCGCCCGTTTTTTTTTAAATATACAGTTCAACTTCGGTATCTCGAACAAGGATATCTCGAATACCATGAATATGTCAAAGTCATTTTGAAGTCCCAACTCCTTCGCAGCTATGTTAAGGCTTTCCGAAGCTTTTAAACGCGCTCAAAACATAATATGTCATTGCGAGGTCGGTTTTAGTTTTTAATTAATAAGTATTGAACTTAAGTACTTCCAATTTATATAGAGGGTTTCCTCGGCTATATATTAAGGTATGTCACTCGTCAGCCTTTTAGAAAATTTCAGTCAGAACCTCTTACTTAAAAACTATTTATTACAATTCAATCTTTATAACATATTTAAATTAAACAATGTAAAATGTTCAACATTCAATTAAAAAACTGCTCAAAAATTCACAAAGAAGCAAGATTTATAAGGGACTATTTCTTGTGGCGGAAGGATATTTAGCAGAAAATTCTGCAAATCTACACATTTTTTAAATTTAATATCTTGGAACTTAAGCCTCACATACTTTTACTCAGAGAATACTTTCCGTTATGATATGCCTGGAATATTAAATATAGGTCTCAATTTATATTTTTATAACAAAATTTACACCTTCGCTCAACAAACATTGCCAAGAAATGAAGATATATTAAGGAAGTCGAGATAAAATTTACACAGTTTTTTGCCTGAAAATCACATATTTTGACCAATATTTCAAAATTTACATCACTGACCCCAGCTTTTTCTTTCATTATTTTAAACTACTCGATACTTTTGACCGATCAGCAAATAAGTCGTAAAAAGTTTGATACAAGAAAATATTCTATTGCCTATTTAGATTTTTAATACCCCAAATATGAGACTTTTTAGTGCAAAAAGGTCACACAATAATTTACGCGCATTAATTTGCATGATTTGTTCAATGATAAATATTATTCAAACTATTTTACGTAAAATAAGATTATGTTTATTGCCATGGTTACATCTTATAAAATATGATAACGGTTAAAGTGATTAACCAAAGAGTTACAATTTAAGTGCAAAAAGGTCAACTTAATTGTACCGTAGCTCAGTTAGATGCACACTGACCTCCCATTTTCTCTGCGATTTTGAGTCATACTATATGAGTACTTATCCAAAATATACTTCTCAAAAAATCCTTGATATAACAAATTTCACGAGTGACATACCTTAAGTGTAACATGACTTTGTTGATCACGTGAAGGTCATTTATAATTTTTTGAATTGTTTCATATAAATCGCTTCGGCGCAGGTAATTAACACAATAATTATTAACATTTTGTTATATAAATAAACTCATCGTATTCTTGTGTATCCGAAATGTGCTTGGGAAAAGTCATAGTATTACTTAGATACAAAATATTTCCTGAGAAATTCAACTTACCTACAAATTTGAGGGTATCTTCCACACAATATCGCAATCTGTATTAAAACAAAGCCAACACATATTTTTCCCAAGCAAGATTCAGTTAGAGAACAACCTCTTACAGATTTCCACAAAAATTCTCAGATTAATCCTCATTAATCACCTGCGCTAGACTCTTTTATACACACAAAATAAATTCTACCCCCAACCACGGGTATAAAACAGAGTACATTTCAAAAGTATATTTTTCATAAGCATTTTGAAGATGCTGAATTTCAATCAAGGGTAGGTAAGCGGTGAATTTTTAAAATGTTCGGACATATACGACTTAAAAAACCTTTAACGACCCGTGAATTTTGCAATAGTTATCTAGCATTTTACATGCAGTTTGAAATAAAGTGTAAAGTTCATGACACTCTCCCCGTCATAACACCTCAAATTTGCAGTGACTTGACGTCATGTGAAGGCACAGAGTGCACTGTGATATTCTACGGGAAGCCTTAACCTACCTGCGTTATTCCCTAAGTATCTCGAATCCTCTGATATCTCGAAGTATTTTCTCGGTCTCTTCGAGATAACGAGGTTTGACTGTATCTAGTTTTTACAACCATTAAGATAATAGTATTATATCCTTATTATTATTAGATATGCTGGAGGCTAGTCATAAATATGAATTAATATGTTTTACGGTGTGACCGTTGGGGCGAGCGCAGTTGTACCATCCAATTACACTTGTAAACTTTGATCCGCCTCTTCAATCTTCCAAACCGCACGAGACACAGTCTAGACTGTGACGTCATATGACGTCGGAATTCACGGAGACAGCCGAGCGTCTGGTTGAACGAGACTACAGGCCTAGTGCAAATTTTAATGAAATACATTGTAGAGTAAATGCAATTATTTTTTTGTTAATTTTAAGCTCTCGGGAAACTGCAGGCCTTTTATATTTTATATTATTTTTATCGTCATTATCGCATGGAATCCTGGTAGTGAGGGAATT